GAGGCGATACAAGACTGGGAAGAGATTTTGGGTGACCCTTAAAGGTGCAGCTTTATGCATCCCATCTCTTGCACAAAGTCAAACACCTAATGAGCGCATAAAGACAGTCCATTGTCGAAAACCCCTTTAACCAAGTCTTTTTCAAGACTAGGAAAATTTTTTTTCAAACACCTGATCAGCACACCCGAAAGACAGTCCATTGTCCAAAACAGTTTTATCCTCTTTTTTTAAGGACCAAGTCTTTTGCATCAAAGATCAAGACTCCAAAACAGTTTTTTTTTTGGGGAAGAGATATTTTGGGTGACACCAGCCTCCTGAGAGGCCAGCTTTATGTCTCCCATCTCTTGTACAAAGTCAAAAACACCTGATCCATTGTCAAAACAGTTTCATCCTCTTTCTTGGGAAAGACAGTCCAGTATCCAAAAACAGTTTGGATATTCCATTGTCCAAAACAGTTTTATTTTTAGGTCTTTTTCTTGGATTTTTAACAACACTGTATTTTATTTTGTATAAGTATTAGTTTGGATATTCTCAGGTCTTTTTCTTGGACTGTATTTTATTTTTATAAGTTTACTTATCTCATGAAATTACCTGCACTACCCCAACCGCCAAGAGATAACAGGAAGAGTATCTCTCTATCTTATGTAGGTAACAAAGAAGTTATCAGTGACAGTTACAAAAGATATTATTGAGTTCTACAGTTAAAAAGTGTTTTGCTTTAATCTGGGCATTAAAATGCAGTTACAGTGTGTGTATGTTTGTGTTTAATTTAAACAACCTTTTAGAGATCCTTTGAACCATTTGAAAGGTGAAAAATTGATTTGGGTTCAACTATAATATGTGCATACTTTATTTGGAAATTTTTTATTCAGCAGGGAAGGGGAGAGCTGGTTAAGACTGTTTCTAAATAAATGTTCTATACATTTAGGAATAAGAAAAAGCATAAGAAAAAAATTTCCCATCTTCCTATGCACTTCACATCTAAGGTAAACTACAAACAAACCAAAACTTTGTTTACCAGGATCTTGTTTACCTGTGTCAGCCAATGACTGGAATTCACAATAAAGCAATCATCAATAAACATGGTTGAAGGTTGGCATACATCCTGAAAAAAATCAACATATTTTTAATGTTTTCCTTGCAACATCAGTTTACACAAAAAGTTTGATAACAATCCAATAACAATTTTCCATTTCTGGGAAACAGTTGGCAAACAAAGTTGATTGCTTTTGTATTTTGCAATCAGTCATTTGGTGTTAGTCATGTAGTCAGTTCGTAAGTCAGTCAAGAAGTCAAAGTTAGTTGACTTAGCTGAAAGTTAGTCGATAAGCTGGTAAACCCAACACAATTTTAATTCACTTTTAGCTACCCAGGACTTCACCCCCTCATGTGTCAATTTCCTATAAACAAGGTAGGCAACAACCAATTAAGAATTGCTTTAAATAAGATTTGAAGAAGATGGCCACCTTGGTAAAGCACCTACCAGAGAGAAATATAAAAACAATTTCCTTCTTGCAATCCCATTACTTCCATTCAGACAAAACTGGCTTCAAACAGAGTTTTCAATGTTAAACTTCCGTATATGATCATTAAATATTCATCCCCTTTGTAACAATTGTTAAACTGATCATTTTAATTCTGATCAAAATCTTCCATTTGCTGGCATACAAGCTTGCTCCCTGAGTTTCACATAAAAAGTCCTCTGAAAGGATATGTGGTAATTGGTTAGCAAAATTTGAGTTAATATGTTCTTGGAAACTCAAAATCTTTTTTTGGCTAGAGATGTATGAAATGTATGCCAGAATATATGATAAAACAATATTGATATTTTTATCAAAACCCATTCATAAAGTTAAAAGTCAACTGAAAGAACTCATGAAGATCTTGAGGTGTTTTAGGTCTCACTTTGTGAGTTTGCTTGAAAGCTTCCAAAGTATACCTGGTAATTAACACCAGAATATTTGCCGGAGCTCTAGCAGGTGCCAGGTCTTATTGAAAGTACTGATTAAGGAGCCCTTGTTGTTATGCCTGCATGAAAGCTTTTGAAATATATTTTTTTTCTTCATTCAATACCTTTTCACCCACTCAAAGAGTGGAGACGGCAAAATATCTTTGGTTAGGCTGTGGAGGAGACTAAAGCAGTACCAAAGCAGTTTAAATTTGCCAACAATTACTCAGACATCAATGGCAATAGACCATAAAATTTATGTGTCTGAGTTTATTTCAGATAAATTGGAAGGTTTTTTTGCTATCCATTGAATGCGATTTTCATTGGAATCTTTTGAAAGTAAATGTTCTTTTTCTTTTACAAAAGTGCAAACATCAGTTACTTAGTGGTCCACTTCAATGCACCCTAGTAAACCCAACACAATTGTAATAAATCTCTTTTTTCATGCACACTCTGTTTCATCTGTGCTATAGAACAATTGGTTCATGCTATGCACATATATCAAGATATGGATGTAATTGGGAAGTTTGGAGAGCACTCTGAAGGTTAGAGATGCTCTTAAGTTTGCCTCAAGCAACTCTTATGCTTCTCTCCTGTTCTCCAAACTTTCAGTTTGCATCCATATCTTGATAAATCTTCACTAAGCATAAACCGATTGTTAAATCAGCAGAGTCCACACTACCTACGTACAACTATCTGCTATGAAATGGATACATCTATTGACATTCTCTTTCACTAGATTCACCCCAGCTTGTAGGCTGTCTACAATGGATAGTATACCGCAGATACAGCATACAGCTATCTACGCTTTCCACAACAGATGCAGCTATTTAGCTGCATACGAGTGCAGAGCTCTCAGGAAAATATTTAAATTTCCCGCGTTCAGGTACTAAAACGATTTTAAATGAATTAAACAGTTCCTTACCACGCATAAAAATAAATTGAACAGGAGAAACGTTTTAAGAATTAAAATGAAATAGAAAACACCGTGCAAAGCAGAACAGCCTCAAGAAATACCTTGATGCCTGGACGAATTTTAGATGTTTCTGTGTCCGCCAGCGGTGAGTGCGTGAACATAAACATTCGCCGTTTTTGTGTTCTTAAGCCTCTGTAACCATTCCCATGATATTCAGCGGAAGGAGCCATATATTGATAAAGGTGATTTAATAGCCAAGTGATGCAGAAGGGGCATTTTGTCACGAATTTTCATGCCAAAGAAAGGTGTTCCTTCCTGCAGCCATACTTTGCATGCGCGACGTGGTCACGATGGTGACTTGAGCCCAGTCTTCTCTCCATTCCCTTTAAGAGCCAAACAACCTGGGTGAGGGAGGGTGAGGATACAATACTTGAGTAAGTAATAACATGGCTCCTGACCGAGAGATTACGAAAAATCTCTTGCTCCTGACTACGAGAAGTACCTACGTTTTGGCGAAGTCCGTTGCGGGACTGGAAAAAGAAAATAATGCCAAAAAAAAAAATGTTAGCGCGGACTGAGTTGTTTCCCCTTCGATTTTCCAAGCGTTCTATGGAAAAGAGCAAGACCAGTTCCGCGGGAACCTAGGATGACCCCAAATTCCGCGGCCAGTTTGTCTTCTCTAAGAGACATAATTAAACTGAATGGTCTGAAACTGAGATATATTTTGACTAATTTGGCATTAAAGCGGTATTGGATTTAAAAACAAAGGTACCAAGATTTCTAAAAAAATCCCATAGTAAAAAGTTAAAAGTTTCGTTAAGAAATATTAACGGCAGCAGACCAGAAAGCCATAGAGAGGCCAAATTTGGCGTTGAAATATGTTTAGGAGTCATTTGCCATCCTCCAATACGGTATTTTTTGATTCAAGTCCGGACTTGGGGATCATTTTGTTCACCGGGATCACATACACATTAGTTGCACAGATGTAACGTTCTCACCTCGTTTATGACTCGCCCTTTCTACCCGCCTCGCGCTCGCGTGTACTAGAAATATTAACGCAAAAAATCTTTTCTGCCGCTATCTATATTCGACACCTCCAAGACAAGTGGAATATTAAGAAAGGCACGGGAAGACAACATATGCGTAAGAGGCTGTGAGGACGGTTGACATATAAGTCTCCTAACTTCCTCATCCTGTCGTTGTTACACCTGAGGAAAACTGGTATGAAAACCATTGGTATTGACCACTCGAATGATGGAATCATTATATTTTCGTACTTTATCAGTCCTTACAGTAATCATTTTGACATTATCGATATATATTGAATTCATTTTACCGTATTTTGATTGGCTGTGTCTTATAGTGCCCCCTATTACGTCGTGAGCTTTTCCTACGCTCGAGACAAATACCGAACAATTTGGCTTTCTCTTAATAGGATATTTCTCGAGTGAGCACGCTTCAAGGCAGTTTGATTGAACGACTAATCTATCGCCTATCAACAGTATTTACATTCACGCATTGATTGAATGCGTACAAGTATTATAAATTCCGAAACAAACCTAAGAATATATGGTTGTTGAGTAGAATATTTGTAATTTCTGCAAACTGATCTGAATGCGTTCTGTGTCATCTTAAAATGATGACACTTAACGAAAGAAAACAGTGCAATGTGAAAAGATTAGCAGAAATACTTTTCTTTCTATAATATTTATTTGTTCCTCAGCAAACAGATAACAGATTAACTCACAAGCAAAGTGATACCTTGATTTAACTCTACATTCTCCCAAATAATTTGCAGGAACATATATAACAGTTGAAGGGGAGACTATGGTTATTGACTAGGAGCTATATGATTAAGCAAACGTAACTTATAGATGATAATGAATGGTTTTCATAACTCCTCCAATCTTTTTAAGTAAGCAGACTACAATTTTAATTCAACAAGAAATATTACAGCTATAGAAATACAGTTTGCATCTTTTTCACTCATCAAAAAGAGTGATTGCATACGATTTACATTGCGTTTAAACTAAATGAATGTTCTTGAACGACTACTAAGGTAATGAAAATCTTCTTTATTTTCATCCATCCATTGATCCGATCCATCAAACTGCGCGTGAGCCATTACTTGTGGATTTAACTTAAGTCACCCGCCAGTTTCTTAGTATCTTCTTCTTGTTCATCTTTATCCTTTACTTCCTTCAAACGCAGTACTAAATTTCTCATTTCTGACAACATCCTCCTTTGCTCGGTAAGTTGATTCTGAAAATCACGTCGCAGATCTCCAATTTCCTTCTGAATGTCTTCGTTTGTTACTCTACTAAAACGGTCTCTGTCACGATGGCACATCTAAAACGTGTGGAAATCAAACGTCTCAACTTTGAAAAAGAAAAGTACGAAAATTTAGGGCAGCCATGATCACAGGTGTGAAGTATAAACTCTAATGTCCACAATTATGGAATACAGATATGCCTGATATAGAATTTTAAAAATTAGATCGACACGCTATTTCCTTGTTCGTACCTTAATTAAGAGCAATCAGGGCACTGAATTTTGGTAGAAAGTTGTAAATGTTCGCAAATATTAAAATCACACAGACTTGAGCAAAATGTTTTGTGGTATTTTTAACACTGGATACGACAAAGTTCTTCCTTTGATTCTAGAGCCTGACAGCTGCCGTAGAGAGAGCTCCCTCTCCACATGCTTTCAATTTGGTCACAGGAACAACCTCTCGATTAATTGTAGCTGGAGGAGTGTGCCGAGGTATGATATGTTGGCAGATTACTGATGAAACCAAACCATTTATAGATTCAATTTCTAGCCCATTACCCCCCCCTCCCCCTCCCTCTTTCGAACATACCTTGGTGAGCACTGTAATGCCTTCAAATCCCAATGAAACGAAGGGAAATAGTTTATTTCCCTCAGTATACTCCACTGAAGAACGCGCTACTTCTCTACCGTTCAAGGAGAACAACACAGAGACTTTCCCCTCGGGGACTCCACTAAAATCAATTTCACAAGCGATGAGATCACCGCGGTAAGCCATGGCTCCTAAGTTATCAACAGAAAACATTAAGTAAATAGCAAAAAGATAACAAAAAAAGCTAAACATGAGGCAACCAACCGTGTAATACCAGGATGTGAAATTGGACTTTTTTTCCTTGTTGTTCGGTCTTGATCAATTACTTACCTCTTCGTTCATTCGAAGACAAAGTTTAATCTCCCTCACTGTATTTATACAAGGAGTGTTGACGATATAAATGATCCTAGTAGCGTCAAGCATTTGTTGATATGAATCTTGTTTTTCTTTGGCCTTAAATGAGTTCTCTGTAGACCATTTGATCGGCAAGCAGAAGGCGAGGGTTGGAACCCTTCACGATCGAAGGATTCAGGGTTTTTTCAGTTTCACACTCTAGGCACATGGATTTTACAGTAACTACGTTCAACATTCTATTGATCACACAGCTACAATACATTTCCCATTTATCTCATGCACGTCAGAATAATCATCTCGAGGAGTCTATAACGATTTTAAAGTGATCCCTATAACGTTCACAAACGAAAATTTCTGAATCTTTTTCTTTTGGAAAACAGAAACCTACTGTCGCAAGGTCGCCCTCAGAAGGACGGTAAGACTTTGATTATGTTTCCAAGCGCCAACAGATCCTTGTGGCAGATATCGTACACCTATCGTCAGAGTAACCCATACCTTCGACTTCTCTTCCCAGCTCATGGAAGCCAGTTTCAAATATTTTGCCATCGTCTATATGGTAACCGACTGTTCCACTATACCAGCCAGGCATTTTGTGACAGTCGTACAACTCATGCACAGCACCCAGTGCCACAATACGCCTCTCCCCAGTCTCCTGAATAAGTACCTGCAAAACAATGACGGACTTTCGTTTTTTAGACTCTGTTGTTACGGTCGCCGTAAGTTCCATGCTTTTAATTTTTGTTTCAGTATGCAAATGAGTTTTTTTGCTCATGAGACCGAGGGAATACTAGTTACTTTGACCAAAAAAAAATAAAAACGATGATAAAGACGGTTTTAGCCACAATATAAACAATCAACATCCGAAACAATTAACAAAAGCAGCTATGATAACAACTGCAATAATGATGATGATTACAAAGCAATAGCACTAATATAAATAATAATAATAATAATAGTAATATAAATGTAAACGATTAATCCAAAAAGGAATTTCGGCTGAATGATAGCACCATCGCACTATTCAAAGGTGGCCATCAAAGTTCGTATAACTTGACTTAATCTTTCATACCCTAACATAATTATGAATATTTTCCATGCTGTTCCCTATACAATTGTGCCGACAAGGAAGAATTATTTAAACAATGAAGAGCTTTCTCGGTTGGTGATCATTTACTTTATCCAAGTGACCCTAATGTTCGACTCAGGGATAATAAAGTGTGGAGACATTGGCATCATAGTCGCTCTTAGGTGTTACAGGGTTAGGTGCCCAAACGAGATCCATGTTGACACGTTACCATGAAAGCAAAGGTGAAAATAGGATACCACAAGAGGAACATAAAGATCTTTTTCAGGAACCGGTCTGGTCTTTCTATTATGGAGGCACCGTTAAGTTCATTCTTAGAAAAATTAGTATCTGTAGAGCTACAAAATAGAAAAGAATACCAGCGCCTACAAGAGGGAGGTTATTAAGGGAAGAGGGTAAAAAGGCGATGTAATTATGTTGCATCTTCAGAGAATCTATCATGAAGCAGGAAGTATATGAATTAAATTTTTTGCTCGCAAATAATTTTCTATAAATCAAAAGCACACCTCAAATCTTGGTGTCTCTGGTGTAAAGGGAGACTTGAACTTAGCACTGTGAATGTTCTTACGATTTCCACTTTTGCATATGTTGCAGGAATTAGGTCCCACGTAAGTTAGGAGACAGCCATCGACAGCAATTCCCGGCGAATCATACCACGCCTTTAAATGACAATCGAACAAAACTTCAGTAACACGAGGGACCCCTTCAGGCGGCTGGTATGTCACCTGAAAATGTCTGCGGCTGAGACATTGTCCAAGAATGAACATTTGGCCAAGAACCAAAGCTTCAAGGAGAAATTTGAAAACTTAAAGACAATCTCTCGACCGTGGACATTGTCAGCCGACATACCAGCAAGCCAAAAGGGGCTTTATTCAAGCTATAACCCTCCCATTAATTTTCGTATCACGCGTTGAGAGCAAATTTTGTTGACTTTTTTGTACTTCCCGGAGCAGCATTTGAGATCAGCTTTTCTATGTCACTACAAAACAAGTTCGGTTTTTTTTTCAAAGGAACATGGAAACTACACCACAACGTTTCTTGAAAGGTTTTCTCAATCGTACATTTAAATTTGTGTTCGAGGGAAAAGGTTAAAATGCAAATTAAAATGGTTAAAAAAGTGTATGCTGATGGAGCAGAATCCATAGTATATGGTATGGAAACTTCCTGTTTAATTAACATGTGAATGTGTGCCTCAAAAACACTCACTCTGTGGCCAGACGCAAGTTTCTTCTCCTTGTTTCCACGCGGTTGGAATACTTGTCGAACAATCTGATTGGCCAATTTTCGACCTCCCTCGTTTTCATGTACCAAGTGATCTATCTTTTTCCCCTCTAAAACAAAGCGAGGAACCAAATATTAAATTGGCTTCTTCCGAATCTAGTCAGCAAAATCATTACGATACGCCTCGTTATAAATAGATTATCATTACTGGAATTCTTAATTTGTGATTTTTTATTTCTTGTCCGTCATGGTTTAAACTTCTCTAGAACTATTGCTTTGATAATAACTAATAACTAACTTTGCGCCATATACTTTTGTGAGACCATATCATAGATTTCTGGGGCTATCTACTAATCTAACATATCACCCACCTGTTAGGGGAAATTCATAACCATATTTCTCGAAGTACATCCTTTCTAGTTTCTTCACCACTTTATTCAGAGCTACTCTCTGTCGAATCAAAGAAGGCCACATCGAAAGTGAAGTAAAATCACTGAGCAGACGTGAACGATAACTTTAAACAACAGCAGCTTGTGAAAACTCACAAAATTGGCAAGGTGTTATCAGCTTACCCGTCCGCCCTCGAGCGAAGCAGGGGTGTCGCGCCAACATAGGTTCCAGAGTACCATCAGGGGGACAGACAAAAGGTTCAAGGGCACTGGTATCGGATGATAGGTGCTGTAGGTTCTTACAGTAATGGCTCTCTTGAAAGACCACTCCTGCAGTGAGTTATCCTGATAATAGAAGAATGAGAGGGACTTAACAGCTTCTAAGGAAGTACCAGTTAATAAAGATAACAGGCGACACTCCTATAGCGGAAGAATATTTTGACATATCATACCAAAGGGACAATATTCGCCATCATTTTCGTCTAAAGCATCAGTCGGCCAAAAGTACAATTATAAATGATCATAGAATCTTTTGAACTTTGCGAAAAATGTATTTGATATCTTACGCCAAAAAAGTCCTACCGAGTTTACAGTCGAGAACTTCTCATATTTTCTTAACTCTGGGTTATGAACAGAATTAATATACATCAGCGAAGGCAGAGAGACTGTTTAGTACCTGAACCTGCTGATAGGTGTTGGAGAGCAACGCAATCATCATGTTCACGAGAAGAATAACTGCCATGATTAAGAAGAAGCTGTACAGCACATGAATAAGAGAAACGGATGAATTGTCGACGGAGTTCAACCTATCCAGGTCAGCTAAACCCAGTAAAGACCAACCAAGGTGTGTCGCCATGTTCCACCAACTGAAGAACATAAGCAACGAGTTAGATCGAAACACCATTCAGTTCTTGAAATTGAAATCGTCAAGACCGCCATAAATGTTTTTAAACGTGTGTGTCCTGGAGGCCATCGTGTCACTGCTCTTACATGGATCATCGATTTCAAAATTTGCTTTCAAGATTCCTAGTCAGCTCCATCAAGTCAAATATCAACACATTTACGTGTTGGTATCCAAAATATCACCGATAACCTTAAACCTGAGGGATACCATTAATAAAAAGAAATAGCAACGCTGAAGAAATATTACAAGATAACCTTAAACTTGAGGGATACCACTGGTAAAAAGAAATAGCAACGATGAAGTCTGGATTTTTCCAGAAGGAGAAACCGTAAGGTACCTCTTAAGAAGTTAAACTAAGAAGTTAAACTAATAGCTGGGCTGGCCTTTTTGCAGGTTTAAGTGGCGAAGTAGCGTTAATTAATCGGACACGAAGCCGCGAGGGGAATGCGAGGCAAAGAAGGTTTCTTCACTCGAAGCTCTGCTTCTTGTTCTAGTAAATCTGCTGCCATGAAAGGAAAGAGTGTCTTTCCTGCAAATTTTCATGATGAAGCTGGTAAAGCACGGTGTTGAACATCAGTACTTATTTTAACACATCAGTATGATTTTTTTTTCCACTTTTTTTCCTCCCGGGAGACCTTAATTAACCTTTCCGACCCCTCAGGTATAGAATTTCACGCTTGAAACATTTTAAATAATCGCGGCATATTGAAAGCGCGAAATTCAAGGTTAGCAAAAATTTCGTGTAACCAGGTATATTTTAGACATCAGAGTACAAAGTTAAAATTAGAGTAGAAAAAAGCTGTAATTTTATTCTTACCAAATTAGCCCGGAATCACTGCATGCCCTAAAAATGATAGGAGAAAATGAATGGTTAAAGAAACCGTTGCTATGGTTTACGGTTTAACCAACAGAAATTGTCCCATAACCACCACCCTCCCCCCCCTTCCAAATTTATTTTACACGGTTGTGTTGTTCCAGAGAAATTTTTAACTAACATTCCTGAACTTATACCTCCAGAAGCACAAAAAGTCAGTGTATAGCAAGTCACTGACTCCACAATTTATGACTACGACTGACCCTGCGATGATTAATGGGCACCAGGCTATCATAATTTGATTTCAAACCTTTTGTGTATTAGTGGCGCGACGAAGTGACTTATTTATTGAGGCCTCTTGTTGAAATTTCCTGCTTGAGTATTCATAAAGACTGTAAAAATCGGCCTTCATGCTACGTTTGACATTCTGATCTGAGTAGTTTTACTCTCCTGTTAGGCCTCCCATCCAAAAAAAAAAGTAAATCTCACTTGATTAGCTTTTTAGCCCACTGTTTCTTACATTGGGTACCTAAACATTCATAAGGTTCCCCTCCATAACGTAAAAGGAAAGCTCTTCCACCCCACTACTAAAAAGACTAACAAATGAATGGGCCCAACAAGTTAAAATCTGTCACTCACGGTTTCGATAATTTAGAAAGATCGCAATATGTACTCACAAATCCTCCGCGGAATCTTTTCCTGAGGTATAGGTCTTCTCAGCAACATATATCTTGGTCATAGCCAGAGAAAATGCTAGAATCATGGCCAAAAACTGCCAAAATATCGCCATTACATCCCCGATAACAAAGAACAAAGCGATTTGTATCGCACCCATTCCCCGCTTGCGCTCTATGACTTGACCAAAGGCTCTCAGTGTGAGAAACATGGCGATAAATCCATAGAAATACTCTGAGACAGCCAAGAGTGAGTTTTCTGACGCGTCCGTGGAGTTCACCCATGTAATTATGCGCAGTATGAAGGTAATCAGGTAGAAAACAAGAATGATGAAGTCAAGCACATTCCAACGGTCACTATAAAAGTAGTAGATATCAGTACTAGAAGACCATTATCTATTTAAGGGAATCCGTGAACTGCTAAACCTTTCATAATTATGAGGCAAAATAATCAGTTCTTACAAGTACACTATTTATTGTTGCAATGAGTACGAGCTAATTAATGGTGTACTAAAACAATAAAAATCGGTTGCTGTCAATGAACCCGGGCAGTGAACCATGTCACCCCATGACTAATGATACAGCTCTAAAAAAATTACCAGTGTACCTAAGCTGAGAACAGTGGCTCATTTTGTTATCGTCTTCAAGCTGTAAACTCTTTTTCCCCATCCTTCCTAGCTGACATGCCCCCAACATGAATGAGAATCTAGTATTGTCACAAGAAACAGAAAAGAAAACGCTGAAATACCTGAAATAATTACTAAGTTTCTTTCGCAAGATATTGTCTTCTTCTGCCTCATTTGTCTCTTGTTGACCCTCTTGTGAACATACTTGGTAGCTGGAGCCATCTCTATTCCTCCTACACAGCTTACATGCTTTCATGTCAGCCTTTTTAGGACTAATAAACTGATCCACCTCCATCAAAACGCGTCCCAGGAAGAAAACTAAAATGGCCCATTCTAGTCGACTGAAGGCAATAGTTGAAGGGGACAGGCAAATGGCGAAGTGAAGAACGAGGAGGATGAGATAACTCAGCGTGTCACGGAAAAAGATGAAATAAGGAGTCGTAAAGTAATCCTTGTATTTCTCTGGAAGACATCATAGTAATCATAGTTATACTCGGTAGGACAATGAATGAGACGCGAGCTTAGAATGGAGACCATCAAAAGAAAACTCTAGAAGCACTCACGATCTGACGAAAATTATTTGGAAAAAAAAAGTTTAACGATCTGGAAATCTAGCTACCAAAAATAGCCCGTCCTCACCATAGATGGTCTTTCCCTCGATACCTGTAAGAAAGTAAAACATATCGATTATAAAGCCAGTTACACTTCCGAGCAGTGGGGAGAAAAGTTAAAGCTTTTTAAAATATAATACCGTTAAAAACCTTCCTCAATTCGAATTGTAACAAGTGCATGCAATACTTTCTTATTTTTTCCCAAACCAATTAGGAGAATAATCATTCTAAGGAGGGCTTTTTGATATCGTAATTTTAAACCTCTCCAGGTTACCTTGTATGACAGCTGTTCCCAACGTCTCGTGTGACTCGAATTCTCCAAAGTGACGTGCTGTACCATCTTTAGTTGCCATCTTAATTAACTCTGATAATTTGGCGTGCTCCCCGATACCGACGGGAAAGATGTTAATATTCATCTCCTTTATCTCCTCTATGAGCTGTGGACTCCCAGTGTTAGCCTTAACCATGCTTAACGAGTCATTAAGAAAGAGCACGACCACCTATTGTAAACATAAAATGAAAAAAAGGTGATATTTATTCCCTTGATTCTCAAAAAAAAATTTACAAGTTTTATCAAATATGAGCCCAAACTTATCAATCTTGAAACTACACCAGCCTTCTTATAAATTAAAGGAGCTGCTTGAATTTTTTTACAAAAAAACACTTTGAAAAACAATAATTGGATTCGCAGAGAATATTGCTGATGTGCTTGTAAGTATCTCAACTACTGACCATGGATCTATTGCATAAGTTATTTATCGTTTTGTTTATCTCACCGTTTATTGAATCTGTTCACACAACTGATAACTGTAGCTGTTATGTACATGTAATGCCAGATACGATAAATAACTAAATCATTAAAGGGTAACTGACGCCAAATGTTCTCCTTTTTTGTCCCAATACATTCTTTAAAGAATCCTACATGAGCAAATTTACGATATGTGGTGCAAAATCAAATTTTCTACAAATTTTTTTTGACGCTTAATCGACGGCCAGGTCAGGATGTGATCCGTCACACGTGTGTAAGGTAGTGAAAAGCGTCATGTCAAGACCTGAAAGTAACAACTTCGTCCCGGCTGCTCAGCTGCTGCCGAAATTTACTAGCGGAAAAAAATAAGATTTGTTCCATTCTCTTATAGGCCACCAATTAGAGACTATGAAATACGAAGTGAGAAATAAAACAACGAAGGTTGAATAATTGAAAGGCGACAGATAGCGTGCCTGTATTCAGAGCCACAGGTAGTTTGCACGCCATTCCAAACAGCTGTAAAAAAATATATGTTCCCATAATTTTTTCCTCTTAACCATTATCGAGTAAAAAATTGAAAAAATGTACCACTGTCAGCTGAGTGAACAGTAAAACAAGCTGACAGCCTGAGAGAGGAAACCATTAAAGCACATGTCATGGGAATGCCTAGCTCCTACCGTTCAAAACGCAGGCTTTGGTAAAAAAAGGAACAGAGTCGGCGACAAACTCGTGCTATGGAAATAACAAGTAGGTAATGTTTCTCAAATTACGACCTGAACTTTAAAAACTGTTATATATATATATACATATATATACATATATGTTCACGGAAAAGTTATAAAAAACTGTACTACTCTTAGCCGCGTTGACATTTACAATATGGACGGAAAACAACAGGATGTAAAACAAAGAAAACGAAAACCAGGGAAGCTCTGTGTAGTGATGTTTTGTAACAAAGCAAATGCAGACGTAGTCAGCCTCCACCAGTTTCCTCAAACCCTGGATGCTGGACAATACATCTGGCTTCTGCCTGCAACTGTTCCACTGTAACATCCTGCAAATTTTTATTTTTGACCACATCTGTTTCTCGGCAAATGATGTTTTGTTCCTTCCTCCACATTGATTGGCAGTTTCCACACTAACACCTTGTAATTAAAAAAATCAGTAAATTAGCAATTTTTTTCACGATGTTGAACAGAAGAAATAGAGAGCACAACTTGCATGATTGGTTTCACCAAAAGGAACAGTTATCAGCTCTGTAACTGTTAAAAACGTGAGAGATAACTCAAACTTAAGGCTACTTTACTTTATTTACAATTCTTCATGTGCGAATGCTGCATCGTGTTTTAAAGTAAAAGCCGAGAAATCTTCAATCGTTCGCCAAATTCAACACAGGAAAACTTGAAACCGATTCAATCGCGTGTGAACGTGTATAATCCATCCAATTCACCTCCACAAGCGTGTATGTTTGTATTTTTAGTCAGTGAAACCTTAGCTTCGGAAGGTGCGTGCGTGTAGCATAAAAACATTTCACTCTCACGGTATTCAAGAGTCTACACACTTGGTTTCTTTAATTGATCGCTCCTATAATTGAAAAGCAACTGATTTTCAGATCTTTTTTACAATCGCAAATGCACTCACCATTCTTGCTTTCTCGATTGAGGCGGCCGCGGCGCACGGGCTCTTGATCCTCTTCTGACCCCCGCCTTCTATTTTAGGTTACATTCGTCCTGGCGGTTCATATTGGCTGGGCCTGATTTCACCAACGGATTCATAAACCCTTTCATCATGTTCACTTTCCATCGAGGCCTCAAAATCCGAATAATAAGACCCCGAAATAGGACTGCTTTCACTCGAAGTACTATCCGCCATTTTTTTTTCGGTTAATGTACACACGTGTGACGTATAAGGTCACATGATCAAAATCGAAGCGTTTACGGCGGATGACTCACGAAGCTGCATTTAGGACGGTTTTCCCGGCGAAAAAAGGTGCAAAGAGGCATACGAAGCACCTTGTATCTGTTTCAATGTGTTACTCGAGGCATTTAGACGGTATTCCGAAAAAGTGACATTTTAGCCGTCAGTTACCTCTAATATGCATGCAAAAATTTCAGCATGCTCATTGGTTGAGAAGGCGTCAGTTAATCCCAAACTGTGTAGAGAGTTGAAACTGAATGCAAAAAGTAGAATGGATTGCAGAAAGCTGAAATTAAATTGATTGAGAGTCAAGAGAGTCGCGAAAGCAAAGCAAAACAAAATGGCAGACAAGTTAGTGGAAAGTAACCACGTTTTAGTTCAAAGTTTACAGGAGAATTGAAGAACAAAAATACCCAAAAAAGCACAAACGACTGGCTAAAAGCTTGGAAGTTTTGGGACTTAAAAGACAACTGTATTTAAGACGGAAGTACCGGAGGTCTTCAACAAAATTCCCGAGGAGTTTGACGCAATAGTTCTTCTGAAAGACGGGAAGATTACGGGCCGATAGCAATCGTGAAATGGTTATTGCTTTTTACTGATACCAAGGCAAAATAGTGGGACATGTTTTTCTCATTCTGATATCTAATATAGAAAGAGCATAAACGCTTGATTATTCGTGACAGTGAGTTTAAAAGCTTGAAGTACGAGGGGAAAGCCTGAGTCCTCCAGCAAGAAGGCAAATGCTAGGGGCCGGCCCATGAGTCGTGACACTAACTAAAACGTGATTTGTGTTTATGTTTTAAACATAAATCAACTGTAGCATGCGATCTTCAAAATCAATCAATACTGAATATGAATCGGTAAGTATAACTTACCAAGGCCTGATAACCAGCCCGTGACTGCAAAATGAGCCCATAGGAACAAGTTAAGGGACAAAACTTGACAGCGCTCCGCCGGGAAAACGGTTGCGCGCATGTATTCCTCACCTTTTTGGCCTCCTTTCCAAGTGTTTGGTTTGTGAATGCACCTCGGGTGGCCATAAGATCTTCACCGAGTGAACTGGTAGAGTTTGGCAGCTGTAACTGGTTAATCCTCGCTCGAAGTGCATCCTCAGTAGTGCACCTCTCTTCAAAGTTGATGTTACCGATAATTTTGTGGTCTTCATGTAAAACAACACAGTATTTGGCAGAGTGGCAGCGATATTCACCAATAATGTAGTTTATCGTCTTTTTAATCAGATTAAATTCTTCTTTTGAGGTATCTTTGCCCAGCGTTAAAACAAAACATATTTCAGTTTCTGAAAAATGATCGAAGAGGCATTAGAGGCTAAGTGATTAAACCACTGATCAATAAAGGAAACATGCAACAACTGATACAAAGCACCTCAACAACTCCCCAGTAGCTGCTTGTATCTAATCTCAAAACTATACGGGGAACAAATACGGGGCCTGTGAACGCTCCTTGAACGATGTATCCTGCAGAACTGGCGCAGTTTTTTGCAAGCACAGGGCAAGCACGAAGCGCGTTTCACGTGCCAGGGAAGAAATACGTGACCCGCACCTCGCGCATAGTTTTAGCCAGGCCTCCTGTATTGTTTCAGTTGAGAGGACTCAGTTTGCATGGTAACTCAGTTTTATGGAGTTAGGAATAAAATACAGAAAAGCCATCACCCTCCACTCCTCACCCCTCTCCCCCTCAGGCCCAAACCTTTTGAATACTTTAGAGCTTGCTGAAAACGCATTACCATGTAATGCTAGCAAAACGATATTACAAACCTCTTTTCCTCCTCAAGGCCTGTTTTATCAAATGCACGACGAAGAAAATGGCAAAGAGAAAGGGAAAAAAGACGATGTCAAACACTGTCCAGAGGTTGAGAAAAAAGTATCCCCAGCGTTGAGGTTTCCGCCATGATTCTTTTCTTACGTGAAAAAAGGATTGGTACCATCTGGAGTTGAGCAAGTTATACACCACTGGGTGAGAGATGAACTGCGAAAAAATTCGTCGATACATTATTTTACGCAATGAGCTGAATTTGGACTGGTTTTTGCTTATTACTTATCAGAGGAGAGCCTCATAGGGGACGTCACGATTAACAACGTTTGGCTTCATTTAATTCAAAACAATTCTAACGACATATCAGTGACACACCCGGCCGCGCGTCATGTGCCACCTTTTTGCTCTTTCCACATTTTGACGTCACGACTGTGATCTACAACAGAATAGAGCTGCTAAATCAAGGGTCTGAAAGATTTCTTAGGAATAAGTAATACAATTCAAGTTGAAAACTAATTTCTGGCCGGATCAGCTATGGCGCCCGGCGGTGGGCATGTTCAGCCTGATGTGTGTCATTAAATCATTCAGTTTAACGTCACATTATTCAATAGATTCACTAGAGTATAAATTTCTTTCACTGGAAATTGATTAATTGTTTCTTTGTACATACAGTAGAAAGACATAAAAATGACGTCCTGTACATTGAATCACAGGCGGCCCAAGCTCCAGCTGTGAGATTATCAATAATCATGATCAATAACAGTCATGGCGGAACTATGAGAGTTTGTATGGGAATATTTCCGACCGCTTTAACGAATTAAAAAATTCGTCAAATTCTCATGATTGATTGAATTAGCACTAAGTTTACTGTGACATTGTGTGCATAAATCTTGAAAATATATTTTCCCCTTTGTAATATCCGATATTACACCCATAGAACCACCGGTGAGGAGGCTTTATGTGGCACACAAAGCGTCCTCACTGGTGGTTATTGGTAAGGAAAGAAAAGAGACAACAATGTCCCCAATATAGCACGTAAGGGTAAGGGTACCCGTGTGTTCAGATGGGCGAGAGCATTCCCACTAGAATCGACTTTAGGGGTAAAGGATATCATAAAGTGTTGATTGGAAACCTTTTTATCACCCGTGTAGTACCTTCTTCTGCTCCGTGTCAATTGCCTTGTCCACCAGATCATCAAAACAACTTTGAAATGTATTTCTGGTATCGGCGTCGGCTTTAAGGGGATCTATCATGGCTGATGTGAACTCGCACATAGATTTTTCAAGCTTTCCTATATCGTCTTTCTCCGGGTTTGCACCATCTGCTAAATCTCGCAGTGCTTTGTTGACCTAAGTTTAAAAAGAAATGAAGTTATCGTTTTTATGAAACGGCTCGTAAAAATCAATGATGTTGACAGAAAAGTAGAGATGGTAAGTTTTAAGCTCGGTGAAGAATTACGAATCGTTAAAAAATAAGGTTCGATTCTACATGGTGACTCAGAATTTTTTCTTTGTCCCACGCTCGTGACAAGACGAAAAAACATCTTTCTTAATTCTTCACTGAGCTTAAAACTTACCATCTCTATTTTTCTGTCAAAAACATTACGCTATCGACATTGCTGATCCTAGCAGTATGCAGGACGCGTGTCATTAGAACTTCGTAATAGACACCGCTCACCGAAGAGTCCTTGTGGCTCAGTGGTAGAGCATCGAGGCGCAAATCCGAAGGTCTGAGGTTCGATTCCTCATGGGGACTCAGAATTTTTTTCTTTGTCCCACGCTCATGACAAGACGAAAAAACATCTTTCTTAATCGATGATGTTGTTTCTGATTTCTTATTAGCCTCCAGCTGTTGAAGATGGCAGGAAGGTTTTTCAATTGTCCTTTGAAAATTAGCACACTGAAACCTCGATGACCAATAAGAAAGAAAACAAGATATAACTGCAAGTCAGTGATACTTCAAGGTTCCAAGTACACTCTCAGACAGTGAACAAGTAACAATTGGTTGTAGTTTTGACGCTAATTAGTAGAGAGAGCGGTATGCGCATGACGAACTAATCATATGGAGAAGTGAAACAAAATCTATGTGATTAGGATCAATTTTGTAACTTGATCTGGCTAAACAGCCCTAAGTAAATTATGCCGGTAAAATAGGTAAAGATAAAGTTAAAAGACCAACCTGGAAAGATTTGATTAAGGTATTAGTTTTACACCTTGCCAGGGTTTTTGGAGTCACTGTTTGATCAATCGCATCGAAATCACCCTTACGCAGAACATCATCCAGATCCTTCTCTATCTCTGTAAAACAATCAGATACACACAAGAATGATTCACAAGTATGGACATTTTTCAATTTAAATAACCACCGAAAAAAGCAGTAAGTTTGAATTTCACCACCCTCTCAATGTAGCCCTCGTTCCTCGTGTGATGAACAGTCTTTGGGGAAGGAATAAACTTTGAATAAACGAAATGAATGCATGTTGACTCAATAACTTAATTACACCAATGTTTTAGGAGTCTGTTTATTTGCGTCTTGAGTTTGTGTCTCCCTTGACGCCCTCTTTCACTTACCTTCATGTTGAGATTGTTGATTAGAAGCATCAATACCCCCATGCTCGTCCTCTGGTTCTATAAATAGGTGATAGAAAGGAAATTTATATCAAATTTTGCCACTTTTTTTTTCAAAGGTTGATCATGAGTGACGTCAAAATATGTAGAACGAAAAAAAGGTAGCACATAAAGTAAAGGCGCCTGCGTATGTCGCTGATGTTTATTTTTTTGTTTTTGTTTTTAACCAAATTTTGACGCCATTGTTCATCTATAAGTAGGAATACGCTTGGTCGTACACGCATTTGGATTAATTATTCTTATCATCTATCAGAGGACAGACACAGACGAGTCAACATCGCAACAAATAAGCTTAGTCCGAAAAATAATCGCAACAGTTGTCAAACCGTACACTATATTTGCTGAGGCGGATGCAAAACAGCCTATTTGGTGATTATCCTCATCACTATTCCAACCCAATCGTTTAGATAATATCTTTCATATTCAAGACAAACCAAATTGACTGCATCTACAAAATTCTGTAACGGGTGGTTCAATAATGAATCAAGGAACGTTATCATAAAGGCCACCAATCCCTGTAAGACTCTTTGTGATCATACATACCAAAACCAGCAGGAATTTCCCCCTCGACCTGATCCTGATCAACGCATGTTACTATGGAAGCCTCGATATCAAGTTCTGGTGATGGCCTCCTCACAGGCTCGGAAGCCACAGGCCCACGGTCATCTCTTACCACTAGTTCTTCAGGAATTACTGACAGCTCCACTTCCTCTAGTGAATCAGATCTAAAGCACAATTCACCCCATGGAATCAGTACTCAAGTATTCTAGTCACCAATGGCGTAAAGCCTGGTTTTCATTCGCGACGTAAGCACATGTTCGAAACGAACATGAACCTTAAGGCGCATTAGGAAATATCTTCTAGAGAATCTGCAGAAATATTAGTTCATGCATTAGTTATGGGAAGAATGGATTATTGTAATAGCCTTCTTTTAAGAGTGCCTGATATTTATTTAAATAAGCTGCAAAGAGTTCAAAATACAATGGCCAGGTTAGTTTGCATTGTTCCTAGATTCTGTCATATAGCACCAGTTTTAGGTTCTTTGCACTGGTTGCCAGTTAAATTGGAATTAATCTCAAAATTTTAGTCATAACTTTTAAGGCTATTAATGGCCTTGCTCCTAATGACATATCTGGTCTTATTTAGATAATACAGCCTTTAAATTATAGTTTGCGCTCTAATTATGAGCTTTTATTACAACCACTAACCAATGGAGCGAAGAAAACTTTAGGTGATAAGGCTTTTGCCAGTGCAGCTCCTAAACTCTGGAATGGTTTTCCTGGTTCAATTAGAAATGCAAATATAACTTAATTAAATTTTCATAATTGATATTTAGTTTTAAAGTTTTTATTCACTTTGATAAATTTTTGCTCTGTGTTGTTTATATTATTTTATCGTTTTGTATATTTTGATGCAGGGCCTAGTATCTAATTTTTATCTAACATTTATATTTCTATTTATTTTTATTATATTTTTTTTTATCACGCATTTGATCATATGCACATGTAAAATGCGCGTTACAAATAATAAATATTATTGTTATTATTATAATTATCAAGTCCAAGCGTGAGCACAAACACACTTATAAGTAAAATATACCAAGTGAAAACGAACGTCGACGAGCACAAGCACTAGTAAAAGAAAAGGCATGCACTTGTTTGTATGCTTGCATCGAGGTCGTTTTCATGGTGAAATAAGGGCTCTTATGCCTACATTTGTGCTTGCGCTTATGCTTGCGTCGCTAGTGAAAACCAGGCTTTATAGAACAACAAATAATGAAACTTGCAAAAACGACTGAATGCACATAACTACGAGCCTGATAAAAACATTACTGTTTAAAAATGTACAAAAATGTCAGTATGATTTGGTGAAGATTTTATGTTCTCGAAACTGAAGAAATCCTGGTATTTCATCCGCAATATCTGTACACAAGAGACTAAGTATTGTTTATAATATCTTGCTATACGATAAACCGTGAAAAAGGTTTCAACAAGTGGACTGATGTTCATGTGAGTGTTTGTTTATGTGGTGCGTTTAGTCAACATTATCACCACAGACCTCTCGCTAACTAGCGCTGCTCAAGATTTTCTTTCCCGCGGGCGAAGAAACACACAAGCCGAAGCGTTCACGATGAGGGCATTCCTGCAGGCTATGCTAGCTGATTTATGCATTAGATGTTCTAGACTCTCACGCATCTCTATATAAACGGAGCTGTTGAATTCAATAAAGCAGTGTGTTCAAAGTGACTTCTACAGTGTCTGTTGCAACTAAAATGCAATGATCCTCTTATAAAAATAAATAAATAAAAAAGAACTATTAATGATTACGAAAACAACTTCATCGCTTTGTTAAAATGACATCGTCTCAGAATTTAATTTATGAGGTACTCATGAGAACGTGATAAAAGGAACGAATCAAAAACCACAAACAGAACCGTAGTCCCCCAGGAAGTCATCAATAGCGTTGCTATTGTTTCTTTTGTTAGTCTCAAAGAAAAGTGTACATATTGAGTGAGGGGCAAAGCGGAAATATTGCTCAAACATGTTTTAAAACCACCTTCGCTAAATCAGGACCGAAAGAAAAAACGCGTTAAGAACTAAGGCCAGGATTTCTTTATGAGCATTAATTTTAAAGAATATAAGACCTCAACAAAGTTTTCTTTCTTATGTGGTAACTCATTTCCAAGTCAATCTTAGTGAAAGTGCGTTTGCATAGAGTTTTTCCGCAATATTCAACACCTCAAGTCCACTGCACGATAACAGAGCAGAGCTGAGTCGAATCAACTCCGAATGGGAAACCCATTTAATCTGTGATTTCCCTCACAACTAGCAATCTCTCCTAAGTTCAAGACATAACGTTAGCCGCAAATGAGAACTCGCTGTGACGAAATAATTCAATCAAAACATTGACAATCATTACTTACTTCCTACAATTCCCAGGGTCGGCCATTATCTTCCTATGCAAGCCGCGTGAAAATCCCTATGGATTATATGCTGGAATAGAGTTCTACAAAATAGTAGTTGTTACGAAGAATCGATTGGCTTCTAGTTTTCTTTCCTCAACCCGTTTACAATGAGTGACTACAAAAATTAACGCATACACGTATGCCGATCAAGGCTGAAGTGCCCAAAAATCTCGACGGTGATTGGTCAATTTGCAGCAAGCCTCACTTTGGAAGTGAATTCTTCACATGCTAGAGATAAGTATCCTTTCACCGCTGCTTCAAGATTTTTTTTTTTTAACATTGTTTACCAGAAAATCTCAAATATGCCTCTAGACGCACATACGAGCACGCATATATTTGAAAAACAGGATATATCGACAGTGAATGCAGTTAAATTCTTATTCCTTCTATACTGCTATCTTGTGTAACTTGACACGCGAGAATTCTCAGGCCCAAGATAAAAAACAAAGATGCGAGAGATCACGACGAACCCTATGCTTTGTACAAAAGAGAATTTGTACTGAAACCGTTATTCATAGTTCATCTTGACATATCTGTATAAAAGGTTCTTATCCAGTGCAAGAAATATGATCCAAAACTACAAGCCTGAGAAAAACATTGCTGTGTTTAAAAATGTACAAAAATGTCAGTATGATTTTGTGAAGATTTTATGTTTTCGAATCTGAAGAAGTCCTGGTATTTCATCCGCAATATCTGCACACAAGAGACTAAGTATTGTTTATAATATCTATGCTATAAGATAAACTGAGAAAAAGGTTTCAACAAGTGGACTGCGAGCAAGCCCCCCTTTTCGGCGAAGTCCGTTGCGCGAGTCTGAAAAAGTCAGCCAAAACAAGAATGTTAGCGCGCCACGAGAAGTCAAGGAACTAAATATTAAAAATGTTTTCAGCAATGTTATCTAAGTTTCGGTAAAGGATATGACCATCAGACCGTTTCGCACCAGCAAATATAACTAATGCTGTAGTAAAGTGTACAGTCGAACCTGTATTTAGCGGTCACTCGCGTGGAATGGCGGGATGATCGCTTGATACAGGTTCCACGGATTAGGAGTATTACAAACAACGCCACTTTCTTATGTGGTAACTCATTTCCAAGTCAATCTTAGTGAAAGTGCGTTTGCATAGAGTTTTTCCGCAATATTCAACACCTCAAGTCCACTGCACGATAACAGAACAGAGCTGAGTCGAATCAACTCCGAATGGGAAACCCATTTAATCCGTGACTTCCCACACGACTAACAATCTCTCCTAAGTTCAAGACATAACGTTAGCCGCAAATGAGAACTCGCTGTGACGAAATAATTCAATCAAAACATTGACAATCATTACTAGCTTCCTACAATTCCCAGGGTCGGCCATTATCTTCCTATGCAAGCCGCTTGAAAATCCCCTATGGATTATATGCTGGAATAGAGTTCTACAAAATAGTAGTTGTTACGAAGAATCGACTGGCTTCTAGTTTTCTTTCCTCAACCCGTTTACAATGAGCGACTACAAAAATTAACGCATACACGTATGCCGATCAAGGCTGAAGTGCCCAAAAATCTCGACGGTGATTGGTCAATTTGCAGCAAGCCTCACTTTGGAAGTGAATTCTTCACATGCTAGAGATAAGTATCCTTTCACCGCTGCTTTAAGATTTTTTTTTTTTAACATTGTTTACCAGAAAATCTCAAATATGCATCTAGACGCACATACGAGCGCGTATATATTTGAAAAACAGGTTTTATCAAAAGAGAATTTGTATTGAAACCGTTATTCATTGTTCATCTTGACATATCTGTATAAAAGGTTCTTATCCAGTTCAAGAAATATGATCCAAAGTTAAATTTTTCCGAAACTTTAAACAGAAAATCATGGGTAACAGATTCATATGCTTTTACAAAATCTATAGCAACCAAGATTCCAGAGCTATTTGTCATTCCCAAACTATCCTCGGTGGTCTACACCGCATCAAACACAGATCTTCATCCCACAAATCCATTTTGATTGTAATGAGTACTTTCGACTATTTTCATTAACAAATATTTTCTTAATGCAGCT